CCGCCTCCTCCCACCCTGAGCAGAGCCGCCGAGGATGATAAACACCCAGGACAGGTAACGGCCCGGCCCAAGCTCCCCGCCCCCATCCTCCCCCTAAACAGCCAACCCCCACTAGGCCCGGTACCCCGACTGGGTCCTGTCACCGCCTCAGGCGGCCCAGCCCCAGGCCAGCCCCGAAACTGGGCCTCCTTCCTTTCTTTAGCCCCCTCCCTCCCTCCAGTCCAGCCCATCCCCCTCATCTGGGCCTCCTCGTACCCTAAAATCCCCTCAACCCGGACCCAGCCTTCCATTTGGGTCCCCTTTTTCCTGAAGCCCCTCCGAATGATGCCCACTTCCCCACACTAGGCTTTCTCCCGTAAACAGATTCCCTGAATTGGTTCCCATCGTCCCCAAATCTCTCTCTCTACCCCTGTAAGTCACCGAACCGGTTTGAATTCGCTTAGTGAAAATTGCACCCCAGCCAGATTCTTCGCTCCTCTGCCCCGCTCCCCGTATCTCCAGCCTTTAGTTCTCAGCCTGACCCAGTACCCCACTCATGCCCCCTGGTCAGGACTTAGAACGTTTTCAGGGTGCCCAGCCCTACAGGTTCATCTCTCCCTCCCTCCCTCCGCACCCCTCTCCCAGTTAGGCCCCATTTTTCGTTTCCCAACGTCATATCTTTTATCTTTCAAACACTTTGGACCTAATTTCTCTCCTTTATCCTGTGATCCCAATAGTGTCCTCCCAACAATTTCCTAAACGCCCTGCCCTCTAAACATTATCCACCAACTTGTTCTCTTACCCTTCTCTTATTTGAACCCCATGTTAGGATTATTCCATCACAGAACCCTCTTTCCGAGGCCTTGCACCTCAGTGTCTTCAGATCAGTCGCTAGGGCTAAGCAAGTTTCCTCACTCTCCAGTCCCAGTTGCCCCCACAAATTGGAGAGAGGCTGCACATCTTTCTGAAGTGAGCACTAGAGGATTTCCACACTTGGATCCTCTAACCTTCCTCCTGCCCAAACTAGACAGAATTGATTGTTCAATTTTCTTTTTCTCTCTTTCCAAGGCAGCCTTTCTTGCATCTCCCTCAGATATATCCCATATTTCTGCCCCAGATGCTTTTCACTGAAACACTTCCCCACTCTCAGTTTTAACTCTAGTTGCTCCTGTCTAACAGGTGGGCTCCTTCTGGAATTCAGATGGGTTCATTCCCATCTTCATTTTTAAAAAAAAAACTTGTTAGTGTCCCCTTTCAATCTTTGCTGCTCATTAGTTCCCCACACCAGCCCATTTGTCCTCAAATTTGACCTTCCAGCCTCTGCCCCTCAGTAAGGCCTCATTGTTTTGCAAGCAGACCCATGCCCCGTGAGTCTTCTTAAAAGGTGCCATGGTTTCTCCAAAGCTAGATTTTACTTCCTCTTACACATACAGCCTGCCTTACTGCTTTTCTTCATGTAGGGCTCCAACTGCCACCCGTGGTTCTTCTCAAGCTTGGGCTCCTTCACACTCCATGAACTCTTAACTTCCCATCTCTCATTTTTTAACAGCGCTATCCTTAAATATTCAGGCCAAATTTGCAGTTTTTCTTGCATCTCAGCGCTTTCTTGACCCTGGTTATACATTTGAAAAGTCAGTTACCAAGGCCCCCCCTTCACATATTGGCCGTGGTGTCCTAGAGTGGTGCCTGGTTAATAGCATAATTTTAAAAAATTCCCCAGGAAATTCAAATGTAGAGCTAGAATTGAAAAACACTTTCCCCAACCCCCAGGATTTAGCCTTTCCCATAATATTCCATTTGTAGGTATCAGCTTTTCTCTACTTCTAGGACCTAGTCTGCTTCAGGAATATTTTCATCTTTTATCTGTTATTGACTGTCCAGAAGTACCCTAGATACAGTACCTGCCACAGCCTCTTACATTGTCCTACCTCCAGCTGCTTAGCCAGGTTTTCCCTATCAGTTCTCAAACTCTGATCTGTTCCCCTCACTCCATTTGTTCTCTACACCTGGAAGGAAAGTTGTCCTGACTCATTATCCCTGATTCTTAAACCCTCCTTTCCTACAATCCCATGTTTTCCTTTTCTGAGTCTTTTCACCTCCATCCCCTCCTCTGCTCTTTGATTCTATCTTCTCTAACCCAAGTCTCTGGAGCTGGGAAGGTGGAGATGGCTTAACTTAGGTGGTGCTGGATGCAAAATCTCTTAACTGTAAGGAAGGCTGTGTGTGCTGAGGGTGGGTGGCAGGTATGAGAGATGAGAGGTATAGGACAAGTATAGGGGTAGAGGAAGCAGAGGAACCTAGAGCAGAACCTGCTTAAGGGGTATTCAAGGTGATTTTGTCTCCTGTTGTGTCTGCCACAGGGGCCTGAAAGGTGGGGCCTCTCAGCAGCTATTTTCTGGAGTCCTGAATTGGAAGTGATCTGGTGTAGATGGCCATTGTGTTTTTTGTTTTTTTGTTTTTTTTTTTTGCTATGTAGTTCAGTCTGGCATTGAACTCACTGTGTAGGCCAAGCTGGCCTCAAACTCATGGCAGTCCTGCCTCTGCCTCCCAAGTGCTGGGATTACAGACGTGTGCCATCACTCCAGGCAGATGGTCAGTTGCTTGCAGGCTGAGAGTTGAGCATTTGGGACAACCTATAATGGTCTTCACCAACTAAGTCTTGAGGGACCTAATTTTTCTTCACTTAGCCAGTGCTTACATGTAGAGGGGGTTGGGTGAGATCTATGATTCCTTCCAGCCTCCTAAGTGGCAAAACAGGCTTGCCTGTCTCCAGGGCCCTTGCTTAGTGTGTTAGTAATTCGAGGGGCTTGGCCCTGTGAGAGGCAGGTGGAGGGAGGAGCCAGCTGGCCTGCCAGGCCCTGGGCAGGAACGGGCCTTGGATCAGCCTCCTCCACTTTGGCCTGGGGGTGGGGTGGTGCTGTGTGCAGGGTGTCTGGTTTCTTTGAGTTATGGCAGTCCTGTTTCCATAGCATGTTTCCCAGCCTCCTCTGGCCTGCTTCAAACTTTCTAAAAGGAATCCTGGTAGAGTCCTGACTAGGAATTCCGTTAAGAGATAAGAGCCGGATGCTTTTCCAGTCTGTGTTCTTGGTGTTTTGTATCCGAAGAGAGGGGAGTTGGCTGGGAGTTTAGCTCTCATTGGATGGGGGATGGGTTTTCCAGCTCTAGTGGGAAGAAACTCGGGAGGTGGAGGCTTAGTTTCCTGGAAGAAGTAGTTGCGGAAGAGCTGGCAGTATGTTTTGAAAACAAGGCTCCCTCTTTCCAGTGTTCTGATTTGTACCTCCAAAATGTCAAAATTATTATTTATTTATTTCTGGTACTGGGATAAACTTAGGACCTTGTGCTTGCGAGGCAGGCAGTGGAAGCACTGAGCTAAATCCCTTCAAAATTCTTGATGGTCAGGGAGGGAAGACCAGTGCAAGCCCCTTTATTATGTTTTTGAACATAAGGTTTAAATCCAAGAGGAAGCCACACTTTGTGGTCTTTCTGCCTGGATTGGTGGAGCAGGGAGATAGTATCTCTCTGAGGCTTGTTGCTTGGTGACTTGCGACAGTACAGTATGTGGAGAAGCTAGCCCTGGCTTCATAGCCATGTCGCAGTCAGTCTGTGTGCTAATGGACTTTGGGGAGACATAGCCAGTTCTGCAGGTGGGTCTTGTGTGTGCCCATGGGCGTGGGGAAGCTCTTGGACAGGGCACATGAGCTATCCTGAACATTTTCATGGATGGGTTTCCTGGGTAATGGAATATCTTTCTTTTCCCAGAGAATTAGCTTTTGGTGACAAAATTATTTATTGGACTATGGCCTATTGAGCACGGAAGGTGGTGGAGTCAGTTTTCTAAGCTGTGCCTTCAAGGTCACCCTACAGAGGAAGAGAAACTTCTAGTATAGTGAGGGATCCCCCCAAATTGGAGATGCATTTCAGAAAGCAACGTAGACTAATAATAGCAATTCCTCATTCTGCCAAGAAACCCAAATTTAGCCTCAGAGCTGCTCAGAAGTATAAAAAAGGGGAATGAGGAGTGGGGTAGAGAGGAATGTTACAAATGTGTATTTCTAGAAAAAAGTAATTCATCCCTTTGAAACAGTGCAACATTGGTTCAAGTTAGTGCCATGATTTGGAAAGCTAATTGAAAGCTGCAGACCAGAAATGGCCAATTAGGTGAGCAAGAATTTTGTTATCTCAAGTGAACAAGACAGGTAGTTTCTGGTTAGCAGTAGCAGCAGCGTAAAATGCTTCATAGCCTCAAGAAATTTTCCTAGGCTTTCAGTACATATAAACAATGATGTAATTCTATCCTGGGAGGGAAGGCTGGAGACTGTGTGATAAGCTTTCTATACCAATCAGACTGAAGTACTTCAAGTGTAAAGTTAAAGTCTTATTTTAAAGCATGATTTCTTAGCTATCTAGCTACCCTTGGTATGTGGTGTGGCAGATGTGCCACTGTCAGCTGTGTGAGAAGCAATCCTCGGGTGGCACAGACGTTCTAGCTGCCATTGTACATGTGTTTCTTGTGAAGAATGAACCAAAACCCAATTTGCCTCAGCCTGTGATTCAGAGTGATGATGTCATTTTCTTATAAGCATGCTTAGCAAGTAGACTCCCTCTGGAAGGCATAACAGCCCTAGTGAAATGACTTATGCCTGGCATCTGCCCAGGGCCGCTTTCTTAGATGGAAAGGGGAATTGGCAGCTGGAAATAGGCCTATACGGTCACACTAGACTGGAGGTGGCCACCACCTCCCACCTTTCTTCCTATTTCTCTTTGGCTACGTGTTTTGGGAACCGTGGATTGTTCTTTTATGTAAGGATTAGTCATCAGAGATATTCCTAGTCTCCAAGTAAAAGCAGCCTGTATTCAGGAAGCTAGGACAGCATGGGTATCCATGAAGCAGGGTGTGAGCCATTAATAAGACAGAAATAAATGTAGAATACTGGGAATTTGGTTTTGTGAAGGTAAGTAATTCCAAGGCCATCTGATTCTCTCTGACAAGTAATAGAGATGAGGGGAAAAGGGTGCAGACTTGTATGGGTTGAGGTCATTAACTGAAGTGAAACTGATCAAAAGTGTATTGAAATGCCAGGCATGGTGATGCATACCTGTAATCCCAGCACTCAGGAGGCTGAGGCAGGAGGATTGTGGTGAGTTCGAGGCCAGCCTGGGCTACATAGTGAGTGTAAACCTGAACTGCATAGTGAGACCTTGCCTTTAAAACAAAACAGAACAACTTATGAATCATATTTGAATTCAAGCATTTGTTAGATTGTGTGGCTACAGAATTTTATGTTTAGTTTCAAGTTTGTGTAGCAGTCTGTACCCTGCTTTGTGCATACTAAATATAAAAATCAAAACCAACACAAAGTCAACTTGTTTTTGTTACCCGGAATTGAACTCAGGGCCTCATGCTTGCCAGGCAGGTGCAGTGTGGCTGAGCTACATCTCTGGTCCTGGAAGTGATTCTTTAACCAAAGGTCCTTTATCGAGAGATTTTAGGGTTAATTCTTAGATAATAAGTACCCTAGCGATTTAAAAATAGGATTGAAATTATAAAAATGTGATCTAGCATCAACATTTTCCAGGAATACATCTGCTGCATACACTGCCTGTTGGTAGCTAGTGTGTGAAATTAGGACCTGCTAAGTACATTTCAGAAGTGGTTTCACAGATGCTTTAAATTAGGAGCAGTAGGATGTAGTACAAGAGTAGCACGTGTGTATCCTCAGGAGTGTTTGCAAAGGCATGTCCTATCCCAGCTGAGGATAAAGGCACTAACAGACTGGCTCTCATCTCCCCTCTCTCCTGAGCTGCATGGATGCTGGATACTGACGCTTATTTCCACCATGATCTGTTTGCTCTTCTCCAAAAGCAGGAGCAGCTCAGTGGGACAGCTGGATCCAGTGTGATATAGTTGATGTCCTTAGCCTGATCTTTTCAGACTGAGAACTGAGTTTCTGTGGGTGGTGGTGATTAAATCATGGCTGCCTTCCAGTGGAGTGACCAGGATATGAGGAAGGATTGAAAAAAGCTGAGCTAGTTACAAATAAGACTAATAGGAATATGAAATGTCACCTAACTTGGACCTGGTGACAGAGAGCTGTGTTTAGAAGCCACATCTCTTGTGATTAAATTCTTCTAGGATTCACTGTTCCAAATGAAACCTTGATGCTGTACCATTTGAACACTAAAGTCAGTATTAGAGAAGACTGTTCCTGGGAAATTTTATGCTCCTTAATTTCTCTAACCAATATATGTACATCTTTTTGCTTTTCATTTCAGAAATGATAATCAGGGTTTTTTTGTTTTGTTTTTTGGTACCGGGGATTGAACTCAGGTCCTTGCGCTTGCAAGGCAGGCCACCGAACTGCTGAGCTAAATCCCCAGCCCCCAGAGTTTTTGAAATAAACAATTTGTCATTCATTTCAAGCAACTAATAACAAGTGCTTTATAATGTACAATGAAGATAGTTATTGTGATCTAAGGTCTACTACTATCCCACACTTCAGCTGTTTCTCTTAGAGAACTGGATTCCACCATGAGGTCCTGAAACATTTCTTCTCCCCTCACACGTTTTCTTCTGCAGGTTTAATGAGGAAGAGCAAAGCCTCTCCACCATCCTCTTGTGTGAATAGGGAAGTAAATGATGTGTTATCATGGTATGGGCTTCTTGCATTTATTTGAAGAGGAGAGAGAGATCAGAAACTCAGAAATGTCACAAGCTCTTAGATTAGTGGCAGACATAAGGCAAACTCCAGGGATTATGTGTAGGAAACTAAAGGAGATTCTTAACAACAACGACAAAGTAACCTACTGTATTGTGATTCCAGAGGCTTGCTCTTTGTTCTTGTTATTTCTTTGGTAAATTAGCAAAGGATCATGATGTTAGTTGGAATGCAGGTCAGGGGTTCAGTGTAGCTCGTGGGTGTAAAGATTATTTGGTGAATGCAGTGATACCTTGGTTCATGAACTTACTTCATCCCATGATTCTGGAAAAGATGGCCACCTTTGTGTTTGTGTGGGAAAGACTGCCACAGTCAGTCATGTTCTTTACCCGATGCAGAGTTTGCAAACAAAAACAAGATTTTGGGGCCAGGGATTTAGTTCACTGGGGCTGTAGCAATCGCAAGGTCCCAAGTTCGATACTCGGTACCAAAAAAAAAGGGCTGGGGATTTAGCTCAGTGGTACTGTGCCTGCCTTGCAAGTGCAAGGTCGTCCTGGGTTGGATCCCCAGTACCAAAAGACAAAAACAAAAAAAAAACCCAAAATTTTACCAGACACTTGTTTGCAAACTAAATTGTCCTTAAAAGCATTCATGAACCAAGGTACCCTTTAATTCCTTAATCAGGAGTCTGGCACCAGAATTTTAGAATTGTAAGGATCTTGGTGATCTACTTGTTTTGTGAACTCAAGTAATTCTAACATGCAGGGCAACATCACATCGATCGCCCAGTCCTTGGACGAGCTCCAGTGACCATTGCAAGCAAGCCAGCTTTTCAGTGGCCCAGGCTTCCTGATGATGTCCCCACAGGAACCTCAACATAGGCCAAAAATGGTCACTGGAGAATGAGAAAGGAGTCATATTGTGTGTGAAGGGTGTACTTTTCCATGGGGAAACCCCTTACCCTCGTCTTATTTTTCCTGACCTGGACACTATAGTTCTGCCTCTTAATATTTTATTTTATTTTTTGGTGCCGGGGATCGAACTTGGGCCCTTGTACTTGCAGGTGGCAGAACCACTGAGCCAAATTCCTGGCCCCCCTCTTAATACTTGAGAAGAGGAAATCAGAATTTATGTCTCTCCTTGAAATTTTTTAGCATAGTCCTCTATCAACACCCTATTAGTTGCTGCTGGTAAAGGTAACAGGAGAGGAGTAAGGATGCCCTGAGGTTTTCTAGAGAAAGGAGTATGGGGCGTAGGGTTTTTATCTGCAGATAGTGATCCTGATGCTGCTCCAGTCCATAAATATTGGCTTGGGAACTCGGTGTGCTTGGCAACTTTCAAGTATGCTTTTAGGCACCAGGTGAAATCCCTTGAGAGATCAGACACTAGGAGTGTAGTAGTGAGTTTTGGAAGAGTCCGTTTCTGTCTCAGCTGGAATGCTAATGGTTTGCTAGAGTGAGGGGTTCTCCTCAGTTGCCCCTTTGTTTTGTTTTTTTTGGGGGGTGCTGGGGATTGAACTCGGCCCTTGCGATTGCAAGGCAGGCAGTAGAACCAATGAGCCAAATCCCCAGCCCTAGCCCCTTTGCTTTTTTTTTTGTTTTGTTTTGTTTTTTTTGGTACCAGGGATTGAACTCGGGTCCTTGCACTTGCAAGGTAGGCCACTGAACCGCTGAGCTAAATCCCCAGCCCTCCCTTTGCTTTTTGTATCGTTGCCATGTGCTTTCAGTTTGTTTTCCACATAGAATAACCCAGAATTGGCATTAATGTAAGTACTTCCCACTTGGCTGGTTCAAGCTGCCAACATGATGTCATTAACCAGGTCCTTGGGGAGGACACACACTCGTGTGAACTAGCCCCGGCATACTTCTGCAGCACTCCTGTCCCCTGCCTTCCAGGTGCCCCGGCTGTGGGACAGGCCTGTTGCTGAGTCATGGTGTACATGCAGAGACAATTTATTTCTTGTCCTTCTTCACATGTCCTTGGCCTGGGGTCAGCCTAAGGAGCCACTAAATCAGATTCCAAGGTGCAGTGGAACAGACTAGAGCTTCTAGGTCAATGTGAAAATCATGGTCACTAGTAAGGGAGGTGATAGGAGGCTTCTGTTGGAGCTTTTTACCCCTTACTCAAGGTCCTCCTTCTGTGCCCTACACCTGAGTGTCTCTTCTGACCACATTTCTATGCACAGGTCACGAAGGGACTAGTGAAGAAGGGCAAGGAGGCCTAGCATTCAGTGCCAAGCCGGGCACAAACTCAGATACCATAATCTATGCATACTTCTGCTCTGGGAGCCAGAGTCTTGGATTTTGTTTTGTTCTTAACTCTTTAGAAGGGAGTTGGGTTCCTTCACTCCAGTGTGGTATCACTTGGAAAGTAGTCTTGGGAGTTCCTCAGGGAACTTGACCCAGTCCGCATGACTTCCCAAGGCCGGCCTTTCTTGGGCCTGAAAAAACTGTGGGCTTTGGGATTTTGCCACAGAGGTGGAGGCCTAGCATGCAAGCCAGAATGTTGTTCCTTCTGAGGCATGCTCAGTGCTGCAGAATTTGGTTTGGAGATCTTTTTTTCCCACACTGAGGATCGAACTCGGGACCTTGCACTTGTGAGGCAGGCGCAACACCACTGAGCTAAATCGTGGCCCAGGAGATCTTAGATCGATACTCCTCTGGTTAGACATGTCCACCTAGGCTGGCTCCCTTGGCTCTTTTGGGATGTGCTGTACCTCTTCAGCATGAGGGTTCCTTGAGAGCTGTTCACAGCAGTTCTGCAAACAAAAGCCTGAAGGACAGGGCAGTGGAGAACCCTTAGAACACTGCATAGGGAGAGCAAGGCAGGTGTTGGGGAATTTGGGCTAATGAAGTCCTGGTATTCACTGCTTGGTCTTCTTTCTCTTGCAGTAGTATTTTGCCTTTGAGTAACTGTCCCCAGCTCCAGTGCTGCAGGCACATTGTTCCGGGGCCTCTGTGGTGCTCCTGATGCCCCTCACCCACTGTCGAAGATCCCCGGTGGGCGAGGGGGCGGCAGGGATCCTTCTCTCTCAGCTCTAATATATAAGGTAAGAGGCTGGGCAGGGAAGCGTGGGCATCACTGCTCTGCCAGGGGCATTGAGCTCTGTCAGTCCTGCTGATCCCTGGGCCAGGCCAGTAAGGGGACTGGGAAGGACTTTTTCAACTAAGCTGCCACATAGCTTTTCCTGAATTCTAGATGAGGAGTGGGTTTTAGCACTGCTTTTGGCCTTTTACTCTGCTGAAAGATTGAGGCGTGAGACTGGGATGGATGGGTAGTAGGGTGTGTGAGTTCTAGTCACTTGAAATCATTCCCAAGGGAGATAAATACAGGCCCCTTGAGTCTACCTGAAAGCAGGCTTTGGTTGTTTGGGGCTGGAGCTAAACCCTCACAAATAGTTGTTTTGTTTTTAGTAGTAGTATGTGCTGCCAAAGTGAGCACAAATAGCATTTGTTTTTGATGTTTCCCTTTTAGGAGGGGAGGGAAAAAAATATGATGTTGGAGAAGAGCAAAGGTACTCAGGTCAGGGAGACCTGGGTTTGAATCTAGCTTTGCCATTTATTACTGTGGGAGCTTGGGTGGATTGCTTGATTGCTCTTGGCCTTGTTATCTCAGATTTGAAATTGAGATAGGAGTGTCTGTCTCAAGTGCTTGTCCTAAGGATTGTGGTAGTATAGAGGACACTATCTTACATACTACTTGGCAGCTAAGGAATACTTGGTAAACATTTTGTTATTATTCTTGCTTTTACCAACATCATCTGGTCTGAGCAATGGTCAGCATACAGGTCGACATTTCCAGCATGCTCTTTGTCTCGTGCTACTGTGAGATTGGCCGAAGGGACTCCTAGGGCCACCTGGCTTAGGAAGTAGATGATGTAGCCACAAACAGTAGCGATCTGGGCCTCTACCTGCTTTCCCGCCCAGGACGAGAAGCTCACTGTGACCCAGGACCTCCCTGTGAATGATGGAAAACCTCACATTGTCCACTTTCAGTATGAGGTCACCGAGGTGAAGGTCTCTTCCTGGGATGCAGTCCTGTCCAGCCAGAGCCTGTTTGTAGAAATCCCAGATGGATTATTAGCTGATGGGAGCAAAGAAGGGTAAGGAGCAAGTGGGGAAGGAGGCCCCCTTGCGGAGAAGGGTGTATGTTTTTTGGGGGATAACAGATTTGTAGAAGTCTTTGCATTCTCCCCTAGCTCTAGTTTTCCTAAGCACATACCATTTTGTAACAGGTTATTTTTAGGCAGTAACCCAGGCCTGCTGTAGGTTCTAATTATTAAAGTAGATCATTACCACATTAATCAAGTGCCTACCAATTAATAGCCCCTTAGTTCACACTTCCTAGCAGACAGCAGGTTCCCTTTAGCCCATCCTACAGTGGCCAGGAAGCTCAGACACAGTGGGCTACAACTGGATTGGGCAAGGCCTTCTGTGCAGCCCAAGTTCTCTGCCTGCCCCCACCTCTTAAGGAAACTCATTGGCAGTGATCCCTGAAGAACTGTCTTCTCTCTAGATCCCATACCTTATTAGTTAAGATGGTTAGTGTTTGAGATGAACCGTTATAGGAAGAGAGAATTCAGTCACATTTTTCTCAGGGAATGTGGCTTTTCTCTTAATACTGGGATCATAGAGTAATGAAATGAGAACTTTCTCCCTGGAGCTTCTATGTTATACTGCTGTTAGGCTCAGGAAAGCCCTGTTTCTGGGGGAGTGAGGTAAGAGGGAGGTCTGGGGAGGTTGTGGTGGGCCTGAGTAGTTCCTTACTTCCTGCAGATTGTTAGCACTGCTGGAGTTTGCTGAAGAGAAGATGAAAGTGAACTACGTCTTCATCTGCTTCAGGAAGGGCCGGGAAGATAGAGGTGAGTAACTACAGCAGCCTGAGACTTACAGCCCAGAAGCTGGAGGGGTCTCATACAGTCAGGGGGACTCTTGATTTGGCCTTTTGAACCCTGGAAATCAGGGCTTGTGGGAGGCGCCCAAGGGTTGGTGAAGGTGATGGTGAACCTCACAGAGATGAGCATTTAAACTACAACCCAAAACTCACTGTGTCACAAAGTGCCAGCACTGCAGTTAAAGCTGAGTACTGAGATTTCAGTTTAGAAAAAACATCTCCTACATCAACATGCTTTGTATTAAAAGAAAAACAACAGGTGTGCCATAGGTTCTCACCATTGGCTAGTGCTTGTTCATTTCTTTGGGGTTTTCCCTTAAGTTGAGCCTTAACTTGTACTTCTCATCAGATTCCTTTTTTTGCTCTATCTCTTACAGCTCCACTCCTGAGGACCTTCAGCTTCTTGGGCTTTGAGATTGTACGTCCAGGTCATCCCTGCGTCCCCTCTCGGCCAGATGTGATGTTTATGGTTTACCCCCTGGACCAGAACTTGTCCGATGAGGACTAACGGTCATAGAGGATGCTTGCCCAAGAGCCACAGTGGGGGAAGAGGGGAATTTAGGCAGCCCTGGGACACAGGAGAGAGCTCCTTCCTGTCTAGGGAAGGATGCTGAGGGGTCCAGGGTAAGGGTTGCCTACTGTGTTCTTGGAGCTGACTTGTTGAAATTGTTTTCCATAAAGAACAGTATAAACATATTATTCACATGTAATCACCAGTAGTAAATGAAGAGGTTTATGAACTGGCATTAGAAGCTTTTTAAACTGCGCTGTGTGACGTGCTCTATCTAGCCTAGGGGAGGGCATTGCCTAGAAGGGGAGGGAGTATCTGGGTCCAGGGGTGAGGCCTGGAGGGCTGGTGGGCAGCACTGTCAGGCTGCAGTTCCCCTGCTGTTGGGCTTTCTGTTTCAATTTTTAAGACTATGTATTTTCTTTGCTTCCTGTCACCCCAGGGACTTTGAGTATAAGCTTTTGGCTCCTGGGCAGTGTCCTTGGGTTGTTTTTGACACCTCACTTTGGCTTCTCTGTGTGCATTTGTTGTCTGGCCTGGTGTAAGCAGGTCATGACCTACGGTTCCTTCTTTACAGTTTAGTGTTATTCTGGCATTTGGTTAAGCTGGCTTAATCTGTTTAATGTTATCTGCATTTTAAATAGAGGCATTGAAGTTCACTCCCACCACCAGGGCTTTTTCACGGGGGAGGGTGCCTGGGCCTTAAACACTAGCCAAACTTCAAGTCTCAAGTTACCGCCAGGAGTTTTTTTCTCCTATGGCCCAGGTCCCAAGGTCTCCTCCTTAGGGTCATGAAGAACAGAGAGGAAAAATAGCAACTCAGGGCCCGGGAACTCTGGGGAATCTGTTCTTAGGGATGGGAAAGCTCTTCCTGGCTGAGCACAGTGCTGCCTGCCTCCCCCAGCAGGTTCTGAGCAGTGCCTGAGACCCTGCTCTGCAGGGCCAAGGGGTAGGCCTGGGTATGGCGGTGACCTGCCCCTCTGTTTCCACTGAAGAGTTTGATCTAAGGGGAGAGGAAAGGGGGAAGAGATCACATCTGGGTGAGGGGAGTGAGGGTGTCAGGGAGGCAAGTGTGTTGTGTTACTGTGTCAATAAACTGATTTAAAGCTGTGCTTGGTCTGTTTTTTTGTTGTTTTTTTTTCCCCCTATACCAGGACCAACTTCTTTCCAGTGTCTTTTGAGTCCAGAGCCAAACTAACATGCTGCTTGGAAAAAGCTGCAATGACATAGGGCAAATAAGCTGTCAAGGTCTCTGGGGCCACGTTATACTGTGAAGCGTGGAGTTGCTAGGAGTCTGGGACGTGCTGCAGGAGTCCCCTGGAGAGACAGGTGTGTGCATATCAGCTGCGTCCACAATAGAGGCCCCGTAGGAAGTCTGGGTCCTAAAACTGGGTTTTGGGTTTGCATGAAGCTGGCTGACATTTTCTATTCCTGAAGAAAAACATTTATTTTGGTACATTTTAGATACACCTAAAGATTTTTTTGTGTGTGGTACTGGGGAATTGAACTCAGGACCCTGTGCTTGCCAGGCAGGTGTGGCATCACTGAGCTACATTCCTGGCCCTAGATAGACATAAAGATAATATTTATCGTAGGTTGAAGTCTTTGAAGGAGGCAGCACAAACCTTCATATTTTAGTTTTCTCCTCTGGGAACCTTTTTGGCGCATCTAATCTTGTGCCATCGACCTGAAGAAACATCTATCTCTGTGGCACTGTGGGAGGCTAGAAGCTCCTTTACCTCTGTTCCCTTTTAAAATTCTCACGAACTACCCTTTTTCTTTTTCTTTTGATCCCCCCCCCCGCCAAGAAGGGCATGGTCTTCTGCCTCCTACAGCTTTGCAACTATGATCCTTAGTTTCCCTGTGGGTCTTTGGCCCATTTTCATACTATTTTTCATGGCTGGTTCTTGTGTTTTACTGTGGACCTAGTCATTAACCTTGGGCTCCACCTGCTGTTCCTTAAAAGAAGTGAACTCAACACTTCTACTCCCTGTAAGTATTATTAGAATAAGTCTGGGACTAGACACATTCAGCTGAAATCAGAATGCCTTGAAGATTTTCCCCACTGAACAGGTGACTCCTAAAGGGATTAAAAAGGCAAAAGGCAGTTTCAAATTCATATGTTAAACCTCATGAACCTACATGTGGACAGGAATTAAAAAAATAAGATAAATCCCAGCACTGGGAAGCTGAGGCAAGAGGACTGCAAGTTTGATGGCCACCTGGGGAATTTAGCAAGACCCAGTATCAAAAAAATAAAAGTCAGTAGATGTTGCTCAGTGGTAGAGCATCCCTGAGTTTGATTCCCAGTACAGGGTATGGGGTGGGGGGGGGCGGAAACCACAACTCAATCCGTTAGCTTTTCCCCCAAGCTGGCAGAATGGATGGGAACATAAGCGCTTGAGATGCAGTGACCATCTGTTTTTCCTGTCCAATACAACCAGAGTTAGAAGCACTGAATCAGAAACCCAGATGTCCAGTCGAGATTAGCCTTTCAAGAAAAAACTCGTTAGTGAAGACGACTGGCAGGAAATACAGTATCCAAAGGCTGTGCTCTAGTTTAACAAGCCGCTGAGGAGGGAGGGGGGAGGTATGTGCAAGGCAAACTAACTCTAAATTTAAGAACAGGGACATTAAAAACTTTATTCAATAAATACAACAAATAATTTAAAAATATACTTCAATTCCAAAGCCAATTAAGAAAAGGAAGTAGAGACAAAGGGGGAAAAAGGGGTAGGAGGAAGGTAGTAGAAGGGAGAGAGAGGCTGAACAGTGGTTTGGTTGGGCTGTTTCAGAAGGTACCACCCTTTGAAAGTCTGATCAGATGCTCTTAACCCATAAACCGTTAGCCCTTGTCAGATGGGGTGACCACAGGAGTCCACCCGACAGGAATGTCCTCTGGTCTCTGGATCAGAGCACTCGGAAGCTGCACTGGCTGGGGAGGGCAAGGTGTTAGGGGTGGCTTCCCCACATTCCTGAAAAACATTCATCCTGACTCCCATGCAGGTTTAAATAGTGCAAACTCTTAGGCAGAGAGCTCCCAGCTGCATAGTGTTACGGGGTGAGTGTCCAAAGCCACTTTGGTGAGTGCGATCTAAGGGTGAAGGGAGGGCCAGGGCACAGGATAGAGCTCCCAGGCTAAGCCAGTGGCCAAGTCAGAAAACAGCGCTGGGCGGGAAAGGGGGATAATAGGGCAGGTAGTCTGGACACTGGATTCAACAGGCTTGCCATCAGTCAGGGAGGGAGAAGCTGAGGATGCATCTGGAGCAGGACCGGAAGACAGGAAAGGAGGAGAGAAGTTGGGAGAAGGGAAGAGGCAGCTCAGCAGCAAACTTCAGGAGAAATAACCAGCAGCCCTCACAGATTTGTGATTGTCTCTTAAAAAGATTTATTTTCTCTTCTTGCCTGAATGTACAAAGGCAAAAAGAGTACAGTTTGTATATATATATATATTTATATATATATATAAAAAACAAGGAACTTGGTAATGTACACTTTACAGAAGGGAAGAATCAGGAAGACTGAAATTAAACCCAACAGAGCAACGCCAATGGAACAAAATCTATGAACAGCAATGTGCCCCTCCAGCCCGGGCCTCCAGCTTGCCCCAACCTGCTCCCAAGGGGAGGGCCGAGCACCAAGGCAAGCGGGTGGGCTGGGGCAGGAGGGGCAGGGACAAGGCTGGGAGGGTTTTGGTCCCAGGAGGGGCCCACATCAGGGGATCACTGCAAAGCTTCCTGGGATGCCCTAGCAATAAAACAAACGACAGAGGCCCGGAATTACGGGGCCAGCTAGCTGCCCAGTTGAATCTTGGGGGCATCAGAGTAGACATCGGGATGGTGACAGGGTATGTGGGGGTAGCAAGTGACATGAGGGGGCCACAAAGCCTGTATCCAATTCTCTAGCCCTTTTGCAGTCTTCACCAACAACTCCTGAAGCTAAGTCCCACCCCTGCCCTGGAGCCTGGAGAGGAGATTCAAGAAGGACCACTTCATTTCACAGGGTGCCCTCTGAGCCTTGTGTGTGTCGTCCTGTGACCTTGAGATGTGTGGAGCTTAGGGTAAGAGCAGGAGACTTCATACATGTACGCATACATGTATAAGGCAGGGCAAGGAGTAACGGGAACTGGCATGCCTTAATAGAAAGAACCAGGAGTGGACCCTAAGGAGCAGCGCTGTCAGCCCCACTGTCCTTCCTGGGAAGGTCGGGCAGGGGTGGCGAGAGGGGCTTGGTCTGGCAGCAGCCTCGCCCAGCCTTGGTGTGTGGGGTGGGGCTCCTTGCTGTCTTCTCCCTCTGAGTATGTCACAGGGGTGTTCCTTTCATGGAGAGGCTGGAGGTGGACAGCGAAGCCCTCCCTCGGCAGGTGGCAGGGACCGCCACAGCTGCCGCCTGTTACTGGTGTGTGTGTGGGAAACCTAGGGAGAAGCATTGTCTTCCCTTGCTCTTTTGGGCAGCTCCTGCTCTTTAAGGGATACCTTTATGTTTTTTAAAGGGAGAAATGAAAAAATGAGCTGTTTCCTTCTGCAGAACCCAAAGCTGCCCTGTGAATACAGAAGTGCCTCCTCTGTGTTACAAAACAAAGTGGAAAGGGCAGGAACGTGGACTCGTGCCTGCCCGATGAATAAGAAAATTGCTCCAGCAGTTTCTTTACACTATGTACAGAGTACGCTGCAGGCCAGCGCCACAGATACAAAACACACAACAATAGTCAAAAACAGGAATAGAGATGGGTGCGTGGGTCCACCCCACAGGAGCCTGGAGGGCAGTCAGGCTGAAATTTGGTCACCCTCTGCGGAAGGTGGGTGAAGGTGTCCACACCAGCAACTTCCATGAATGGAAACGAGGGGACTGCTTAGGGCACTGCCTGCTGGGGCAGCAGAGGAATGAGGGCTCAGGGAGGCTGTCCAGGGCCCTGAGAACGGGTACAAGACGGTGGGGGGTGCTCGGGACCCAACTTTAAACAAAAAGACGTGGAAACCTACAGGAAGGGTCTGTGGGTTACAGAGGCGCTCCAGTGGGAACCACTCTCTGGGAATTGTGCTTACGGGCCCCACCTCTCCACTCTTCTAAGTTAGAACCGCTTTCCTGCTCTTAGGCTCTCTCTTGGCATTCTGGTTGCAGAGCGCCCTTCTTTAGCCTAGGTTGGTTGGTGTCTGTTGGTCTTTCTCCTAATTTGGAGAGCCAAGGAAAAGACAGGAGGGGAGAACAAAGGGATGATACTTCACAAAAGCAAAAAGGGAAAGCGCTCCACACTTGGGGAGCTATCAAAGCTACCAAATCATCACTTTCTCAGTGTGAGAGCATAAAGCTCTGACCCAGAGAGACTTTTCTAAGGAGAGCAGAGATCGCTTCTCGGCCTTTTGGCTAAGATCAAGTTTAAGGAGAGCAGAGAAATGTCTGGTGCCTCCAAGCACAGCCCAAGCCACTCTGGCTCCCACGAGTAATGCTTAGGTGTGTTATCTTAGGGTCCGAGGAACAAATGACTTCCCAGAGCCAAAGGCCCCTAAAAAAAACAATGTGTGTTACAGAGTCACACAGCTTATATTGGCACACACTGAAGGTATAAAACCATGTACTTGTAGACAGAAGAACTGGGCTGTATCCTTTTGTGGCCTTAGCTGAGGAGGACAGCTGAACACGGAACATCTCCAAGACTGCTGGGTGCTTCAGGCCTGCCTGCTGGGCTTTGCCCTCCGGTGACCTGGCAGGCTCCTTGGGACCCCATTCTGGAGGAATACTGTTTTATCTGCCTGAATCCTAAGAGCCAAGCAGTGGAAAAGAAGAGGTGAATTCAGTGTGGGGATCCCCTGGGAAAGGCACCAAGGGGTTAGGATGGAAGAGAAAAGGGCAGAGTGGGGAGATAAGCAGCAGCAGGACTTCGTGGGGACACAGGTTCAACTTCACAGACTCCGTTCGTGCTCCAGCTCCCTCCCCAGCCACTGGGGAGCCCTGTTGCTGGTGTTGGAACCCCTGCCTCTGCCTGCCGGGTGGCTCAAGGCCCTGTGGGGCGAATGCCTTGATCTCCCTCTCCAGGCTGGGTGCTGAGCATTTATCTGTGCTCACGTGTGAGGCGGGGGAGTCTCCGTGTTTGAAGACTTTGTTTTCCCGACTACAGAGAAAACGGCCCCCAATTTCTTTCCTGAGATTCTAATTCCTCCACATGCTGCCAGTTCCCAGGGCCCAAACCGCTGGGGAGGTGTGGGATCTGGTGACGGTGGGAATGGCGGTGAGGGGATGGCTGCTGTGCTGTCTTCAGACCTTACCCAGTGCCTGGGAGTCCCTCCCTGCAGGGGGTTGGTTGGTACTGCGCAGGCAGCAGAACAGGAGCCTGGGGAACAGAGCAGTGACTTCTCTGGGCTGAGGCCATGTTCCCCTGGTTGCTCCCCGTGCCTTCGTCTCCAGAGAGGCCACAGCAGTCATGGTTGTGGCTGAGAATAAATATTTTTGCTAAGTACCAGCTCTCCAGCTCCTGAGGGAGGGTGAGGGAGTCCAGGGTCTGGAGGAGGTGATAGCCACAGGTCTGCCTTCAGTCATGGTTGGAACGGCAAACAGGATGACCAACACCATTTAACTGATGTCTAAATGGCACCTCCTGCACCTCCCTGGGTGAGGCAGTCCGCGCCCGTGAAGCTGACTTTATCCGGGCACTTGTTCTGCAAGGGAAACATGGACAGGTAACCAGGCACTCAGCCTGCTGGCATAACAACCACAAGATGGCGCTCCAAGAAAACCGAGCCTCAGGGAAGACCAGAACTGTCCCTAGGGGACGTGTGACTGCCACAGGTCCGCTCAGAGGTACACAGCTTCATAGGAGAGGTAGGCCAGAATTCCACCTTCCTAGACAGCTGACCCAACACTGTCCCTCACGTAGGCCCCAAGGGGTTCCTGTGACCAGGCTGCAGCTGGCCCCAAATGAACAAAAGTTACTCACCATTCTCACCTCCGGGGGGGTGGGTAGAGTGAGGGAGCTGAGCCTTGCTGGCTGGCAACAATGGCTGTAGAAGAAAGCCCTGAGGCAAGCAGGAGGACAAGTCAGCGCAACACTCACACAGATCACAACCAAACAAAAGCAAACCAGAAACTTACCCAATTTTTTAAACCAGTAGTGGCCTGAAACTGGGATCTCGTGCATGCTAGTCAAGTGCTAATCTACTGAGCCACGTTCCCAGCTTTTTATTTTTTAATTTTGGGACAGGGCCTCCTTAAGTTGCCCGGGCTGGCCTTGAATCTGCAATCCTGCTTTAGCCTCCCAAGCAGCTGAGATTTAACAGGTCTGCACCACTGTGCCTGCTAGAAACCTCCCCCCTTCATATTCCCCTTTCTCCAGCTGGCTAAAAGTTGCCATTTAAAGTCCTAGCTCCGTGGAGTTCTGAGGTGCTGACAAAAGAGACACATCCAGATATAGTGGCTGGGGACAGACAGTGTGTGGCTCTGCTACTCAGCTGCTTGTTTCTCTTTGCTTTGGAAACATCATTTTCTTATTGAGTATCAAAGCCAAGATTTGGAGGAGTGAGAGTCCTCAAGCTTCAAGGGAGGAAATAAATGTCAAATGCTTTAATAACTATCTGCAGGAGACTGGGACTTCAGATAGATTAGAAGCTTAGGAAAAAGATTCTTGTGGGAGACCAAGAAAAATGCATGGCAGGGACAAGAGGCTTACCTGCTGCATAGGGTAGGTTGTACTGTGTGGGGAGCAGCGAGTACCCCAAGTGATGGTGGTGGTGATGTGTGGACATCAGGCGCTGGGAAGGGGAGGTGCGCGGCCGGTCAACACTCCGTTCAGCTCCGCCTGCTCCCCCCACACTGCTGCAACTGCCACCACCTCCAACCACCCCACAGCCTCCCCGATCTCGCTCCTGAGAAGTCTTATCGCTAATCTGCAAAGGAGACACACAGAAGCACTATGGTGACACACACGAGAGAGTCTGGGGGCTGATGTGAAATCAGATGAGCTGTACTGTGGTCAGGACCTGAACCGGCCCACTTTCTCCAAGACCCTGGATGTGGCCTCACTGGTCTCTGGGGAACAAAGAGGGTCCTCTCTGCTTCTCTTACCGTGGGTGACTTGCTCTTGTAGTGGCTGGCATGCTGCTGCAAGATGTCCAGGGCTTTGGACTCTGAGCTGGATTTACAACTGACACTGGGGCTGGCTCGTGCCTTCTCGGCATCTTCACCACCTGAGACCTTGCTGCCATACGGAGAGAAAGAGTAACTGGAAGGCAAGTAGGAACCTAAGGAGAAAGAAGAGCAGCAGTCAGACAAGACACAGGGGAATCTGCGTTTTAGGGTGGTCAGGGAGCACAGGCTGGCCCAGCCACAGGCTGAGGTATTTTCTGCCAGTGTCTCTCTGGTGAGACTACTGGCTTGTCCTTTCACTACCGGGGAGAAGAGCAAAGGGACTAAATGTTTCTTTTTTTCTTTTTTTTTGGTACCGGGAATTAAACTTGGGACCTTGTACTTGCGAGGCAGGCAGTGGAACCACTGAGCCAAATCCGCAGCCTAAGAAAATCTCTTGAAGCTGACTTTCCCAGCTCCACTTTGGTGTTCTGAAAACTGTAGTCTCTGATTTGTCTTGGAACAGTGCTATGATGTAACAGAAAGATCACAGAATTTACAGTCAGGGGGACATGGGCTCAACCATACTTCTGAGACTTGATAGCTAGTAACCTTGGGCAAACTAACTACCTTTCTGAGTTTCAGGTTCTTCATTATCAAAACAAAGATACCAATACTCTTTCATAGAGTAATGAGTATTAAAAAAATATGATAATGTACAAAAATCATCCAGGACAGTGCCTGGACCTCAGCAAATGGAAATATTGTTTGTATAGAGATGGATGTGGCGAAAGGGAATAAGGAACACCTCAAGGGTGAGACAACTATGAAAAGGTTTCTTGTCCTATTTAGTGATTTTCTTCTAACAATGTCACCAGAATGTCAGGCTATTTAAGCTGTGTGAAGTTGGGAGCTTTTAGGATGTAAGAAGTGCCCAGGCTGATGGAATGTGATTTGGCTGGGAAGGCTGGGGGGTGGGTTGGGGGGTGGATAAAGAGAGGCTGGGTAACAGGCACCCCAACAGGTGGATGGCGTTCTGTAGAGTTCACAACAGGCTGTTATATATTTCATGAAGATCCGGAAGAGAGGAGCTCACAAGAGGAAAATGCTAATCACCCCGACAGGATCAGTGCACACTGTATCCATGTACTGAAATACCACATTGAACATCATTAATATTACAATTAGTAAGTGAATCAAAGTAATAAAAGTGTCCTCCCACCCCAGAAAAGTCCTATATGGTTCTTTAGGCAACAGAATTCAGTGAGTAAAGAACAAATATATTCCTCTAACAAGTTAAAAAAACGTTTAAACCCCAACTCTGTATTCCCCTCACAAGAGCTCACCGACAATAGTGTGAAGAGCTAGCCATTCCCACACTGGACCCCACAGGACACCCTGACCCAGCTTCAAGCTGCTCTTCCCATCTTACACCCTTCCCCACCCTGGGCCTCACAGCTGAGCTCAGGCTCTGAATTCCTGAACTGATTTTGTCCCAAATGTCTAAAGAAAAAAAAAAGATTCCAGAGAGAGAAGGTGACCATGGTAGGAAAGCAGTTTCACCTCTATCAATGAAAATGGACAGCAGAGGCAACCCTGCAGCTGGAGTAAGTGGGGGAGCTGGTGTCCCTCAGACTGTAACCAGGAGTCACATAAGAAGTTACGGGTTAGAGTAGCCGCTTTATGAAATGAGGCCATCCAAATGGTGCTATCATCCTGCACTGAGCCCTGGGGCTGTGCAACAAACCCGGAGTGGAACTCCGCTCATCCCCGGCCCGGTGCTGTACCTGGGTAGTTCTGCATCATCACAGCAGGCATGCCCCGGTAGCTGGGGTGGTTGGGGTCGTAGGACTGGCTGTAGGAGTAGCCGTGCATGTAGGGGATGTAGGACTGGTGCTGGGTGAGGGGGGAGGATACAGGCACATGGACACTTGGCCGGGGCTCCTTGCTCCCAAGGCGGGACTCCTCAGACGTGGGCAGCTTGCAGTCACTACTTGTGCTTTCCTTCCCATCCTCCTTGGGAACAGAGTCCTTATTCCGACTCCTTTCCTCCTTCAATTTTCGGTCTCGCTCCTCTTTCCACCGCTCATCCTCTGACTTGATGTCTGAGTACTTGGCAGGATACACGTATGTCCACATCCGGGGCTCTGCCTCCTACAACCACCACAGAATGAGGACTGAGTATGCACACCTAAGACAGAAGTCTCGAGCCTGAGGTCCTGGTAGAAACACTGGAGCAGGCAGTTACTAGATACCTCGGGCAGAGAGGACCTGCTGGAACAGGGAGGCCGATACTGATCATGGCTTACACAACTCAACTCTAGTCTCTCTTGCTTAAAGTTTCCCTTCCAAAGGAAACAAAGAAAGGCAAGAATAATTACTCTGGGTCAGGACTCCTGGAATCAAAGGGGCTGCCTCTGTCCAAGAGGGGTAGGTGGTTTCACTTCTTCCGAGCAAGCCTGGGATGGGGAGCGATTATTGCCACCTGGATCAGAGGGGCAGGGAGCAACTAACACCAACAGGGAAGGGAACACATTCTAAGACTACAATTTTTTTATTTTTTATTTTTTTTGCAGTACTGGGAGTTGAATCCAGGGCCTTTGACTGAGTTACATTCCCACTCCTTCTTAATTTGCTTGTTTATTAGTACAGAAGACTGAACCAAGACCTTTGCACAGACCTTTATCCCTAACCTCTTTACCATTTTATTTTTTTCAATATCGGGGATTAAACTCAAGACCCTGCACTTGCTAGGCAGGCGCTGTGCCACTGAGCTACATCCCAGCCCTTCAATTTTATTTTGAGACTGAGTTTTGCTAAACTGCTCAGACTGGGTTTGAATTTGAGATCCTCCTGCTTCAGCCTCCAAAGTGCTGGGATTATAGGAGTGCTATGCCCAGCTTTATTTTTCATTTTGAAACAAGATCTTACCAAGTCACCAAATTGCTTAGGCTGAGATTGAATTTGAGATCCTCCTGCCTCTGCCTCTCAAGAGAACTGAGATTGTAGGCATGTGCCACAATGCTCAATTTATAAAATCCTTTTTAAAGTAACTCAGTAACTGAGTAGTATATCTCCGACCTGCTCTGAAGAAATGGAATGACCACTGTTAACTCATCCTATAGAAAACTAAGAAGTGGATAGGACACTGGATTAGGAATCAAGATTCCTGGGTTCTAGTCCTGCCTCTGCTAGTGAAGGTTCATGTAACCCTAGATAAAGTAAGCTAACGTACCAGGATCTTGTCAAATGGAAAAATACCATGGAGAAATAAATGGAAAAATTTATGGAGGTGAAAGTGATTTTTTTTTTTTTGTACCGGGGATCAAACTCGGGACCTTGCACTTGTGAGGCAGGCAGCGGAACCACTGAGCTAAACCCCCGGCCCCTGAAAGTGATTTTTAAAAAATACTAAAATGATGGTGGGAGTGGTGGTGCTGCCCGGCACTCAGGAGGCTAAAGCAGAGGTGTGGGGGATTGAAGCCAGCTTGGACTGCACAGTGAGACGCTGTCTCAAAGAACCACATGAAACTAAACCAAATTAAACAAAAAAACCACAAACACGAAAACGGTTTACAAAAGTAAAGCTCTGACGGTATACAGGTATGATGTGTGAGGGCGAGTTTCCCACACAGCATCTGCACCTCCTCCCAGGCCAACAGTTACCTGCCGGTACCAGAGAATCGGATCCACCTCTGCCTGGCGGCCACACTCAGTTCCCGTCTTGCCCTCCGAGGCCTCCTTGCCCAGGTGGCTGGCCTCGCTCAGCTTCACCTTCAGGCCCTCTGGGGTGTGGCTGGGGAGTTTGGAGGCGTCGTCCAGCTTGGGAATGATGACCGACTTGGCAGGGTCGGCCCCCGGCTCCTTGGCCTTGCCGGGCCCCGACTTCACCAGGTCCGTGAGGCTGGGGGCCTTGGTGAGGGTGGGCGGGACGGACGGCTTCTGCTTCCACTCCTCCTTGAGCGCAGCCTCGCGGTCCCTGAGCCCCAGCTCCGCCTTCTTGTCGGGGCCCCGCGGCGGCTCCAGGCCCTGGCGCTTCTGCTGTTCCTCGTACTGCTGCCGGTAGGCGGCGTTGGTGCTCAGCAGGTGCGCGTGGTAGCCCTGGTCTCCGTAGCCGTAGGGCGGCACGTAGGCGTACTGGTTGTAGTACAGCGACTGCATGTACATGTTGGGGCGCTGCTGGATGACCGAGGGCTGCTGGCTGGAGCCGCTCAGTTCCGGCTTCTTTTCCTCACAGAGGTCGCTCTTTCCTTTGCCCTCCAGGCTCTCCGGCTCCTCCTCCTTTTTTGGCTTCAAGGCCTGGCTCTCCACGCCCACCTGGCTGCCAGGGTTCAGGGCCCCGGGGCTGGACTGGGCGTAATTTGGAGAGTAGTAGCTCTCAAAGCCCTGGTAGTACGGGGAGTCTTTGCTCTGCGGCTGAGGGGGAAAGAGCGTCTTCTTAGCCCCTTCCTTCCCCAGCTGCTCCGGGTCCTTGGACTTGAGGCTGTCCACCTTGCCCTCCCCGTCCTCCCCAGCATCGGAGATGTCAGAGTAGGCGGGGCTGTTGGTCTTCACCGAGCTCGCTTCGGCCCCGTTCTGGGTCACCACATGCAAGGGCGTCAGGGGCTGTGTCGGGGGCGTGCTGTCCAGGCGGCTGCCGCCTCCGATGGAAGGGCTGGGGGCGTTGTCCGTGAAGCTGTAGATCTTGTCGGCCTCCGCCTTGATGCTCGCCAGGCGGCTCTGGTGGGGGTCAGAGGAGCCATTCAGGAGCCCCTCCATCTTCACGCCGTCTCCTGATGACTCCCTGAAGGGGCTTTTTCCTTCTTCTGCTCGACAGACCTTCCCAGGGGTCAGAGGATTTTCCAGCTCCTTGGAGGACTCTTTCTTTTTTTTGTCCTTCTTCTTCTTGTCCTTGGCAGGTGTCAAGGCAGGGTTGACGGTGAAAGGCTCCCCCATCACGGTGGGCTTTGGCTGGATGGGTTTGAGCTGGGGGCTGTTGGGCATGGCTTGCACCACCGTGGTGGTCAGGCCTGAGGAAGAGCCTGGGCTCCCTGCCGTGAACGTGGCCGTCTGGAAGGTGTAGATCTGCTGAGGGGGGATGGCAGGCGCAATGGGCCGGGCTGACTTCAAGCTCTTGGAAGGAATCTTTTCTGCTTTCAAACTAGAGGGCTTTTTACATTTTTCTTTTTCCATACACTTTCTTTCCAAAGAGTCAAAGGCATCATTACTTGTTTCATCCATTACCGAGGGTCCATCATCAGAGCCGTCATTAGATAAGGCCCCAAGGTCCGTGTCCCCTTCCCCACTCAGCTTTTTCTTGCAGAGGCCTTTTGTGCTAAATTTGCTCGAAGGAGAAGGGCTGTGGGGCTCCATGAGCCGAACTTTGGGGGTAGCTGAGCGGGCAGGGGACAGGGAGCCTTTCTGGGAGACGGACGCACCATTGCAGCTGGCGAGGTCTGCATGGAGGGCGGGCTCCTCTCCGTACTCACTGTCCCCATCCGCTTCCGGCTTGCTGTCGTCGTCCGTGTGGGCGTGGGCTTGGTGGTACTTGAGTCCGTTGATGTGCTTGTACTTCTTGTTGCAGTTTGGGTGGGGACAGTCGATCAGGACTGGGGAAGGGCAGTTTCTGTCCAGGACAGTGAGTTCTACCTTGGTCCCAGGGAGGGGGCCGGTGGCTGAGCCCATAGAGTTTGTCCGGACTCGCTTGCTCCCTTTGGAGTCCTCCGAGCTGGAATTCAGCTCCATGTCTGACAGGGGCTTGTTTTTCCGCTTACTGGCGGAGGAAGGGCTGGCCTTGACGTCCTCAGAGGAGCCGCTGGCAGGTGGGCGATGCTCTGAAGAATTCTGGCTGCCCCGACGGCCTTTACTATTGGCTCCTGCTCGAGTTTTGCTGCTGCTGCTGGTCCCTTTGCTGTCAGAGGCTGTGGCTGTCTCATTGACGGGTGTGTTACTGTTGGGACGCATTCGTTTGCCTCTGCCACGACCATTGCGCATTTCCAAGTCACTGGTGGGGGAGTCACAGAACCTTGGCAAAGGACAAACACAATAGGGTGTTAGTAAGCTGAGAAACATGTGGGCGTGGTGGCTCATACCTGTAATTCCAGCTACTGGGGAGGCTGAGGCAGAAGGATCCTTCATATTGAACCATGTCTCCAGTCAAGCCCTCCTTTCTCCCCTCCCTCCCTTCTTTCTTTTTTTAAAGTTTTTTTATTTTGAGGTAAGGTCTTGCTAAGTTACCAAGCTGCTCAGCCTTGACTTGAATTGGTGATCTTCCTGCCTCAGCCTCCCCATGAGCTAGAATTATAGCCACCCAGTGTGCCTTTTCTTCTCTGAATGTTTTTATTAATATATGTTTGTGATACATAGTAAATATATTTGTCATGGGGAAATTGGTACATATACATAGGGCATCTTGATATCTTGATCCTTTTTACCCTGCACTCATCTTCCCAATTCTTTCTTTTTTGAGATAGGATTTTTTTTTTTTTTTTTTTTTTTTTTTT